TCCTGATGCAAGTTTATCCCAATCTTTATGTGGATCCCACTTAAATTCATTTATTAATGGTCCAACAACTAAAGCACCTATCCACACATCTACCCATAATCACAATATTCGCACCGGAGTCAAGTGCCATTGATATGGGTATAGCTCTAAGGTATGCACTAATTAAAATATCTTCTTTTTCTTCGCTTGGAAAATTGTCCGAATCTTGATCATTCCCAATTATATGTGTAAATTCATATTTTGTTTAAATTCTTCATTATCATATCCTGTTATTGCCGCTACAATTAATTTACCATCTTCTATTTCACTTTCTATAATGTCGCTTGTTTACATGACAAAGGATCTAAACCTCCTGCATTTGTAATATTTTTCTGTGGGTGATTTATGATTTCTACGACGAGCAAAATTCTCTACGATTACGATGCAAGAGATTAAAAGTGAGTGATTTCAAAGATGTATTTCAAAAAGGATGTCTGCAATCAAGTAATATAAATTTTCTCTTTTTTTACCAATTGTGATGCTGCGGAAATCCCCCAGAATGCACTGAATATATTATTTTTATTGAAAACAATTAATATAATTAGGAAAATTTTTTATATATTAAAGATATAAAATTGCGTATTAACGAACAGTCGTTTTTTTTTTAAAAGTTTTTTAACATTATATTTAATCACACCACGTGACTTTGACAGATAAAAATGTTGTGACACAATCGATAAATTCCCGATTCAATTGGTCCTCGTAAAAAGATTGGGGGAAATAGTCATCAGGAAGTGGAGGTGTTTGAATGGAAATGCTGATGGTGTCAACGCTAATATTACATTACCTGGAGCGACAATTGCACTTGGATAGCCGAGTTCGAATAGAAGATCAATGTTATTTACTCATATAATTTAGAAATTCCCCGATATTCCCTTAAATTTAGCAACGAACATTTAATAAATTCTCCCAAAAGAGCGCGGCCATACTCGATTTATTAATTTTCATTAAATAATTTTTGCATCATATCATTATTACAATTAAAAACCTTCTGTATCATTATTCGTTAATAATTATAAACATTTAAGAACTGAATGCAACTAATTATTTTTAAGTCAATTTTTAAAATAAAATTTTCGTCAAATTTGTATTTTTTTTTTTAATATCCTTTTCCCTTTCTTTCCCCAACCCGCTATTTATTATAACCTTATGCTGCAACCACCTGTTACGTGTAATTCAAGGTTAAGACCCTAAAGATCTATTAATTATATTAATTATACAATTAAAACGTGAACTATCTGTCAACATAAACGCATACATTTGGTGTTAGCAAAAAAAGATGATAAAATTTAATTAAAAATGATGTGAATTTATTGAAAATTGGGAAATAATGGGATTCCAAATTTGCAGATCCTAACATGTGATTTGAATATCATTGGATCAAAACATTTGTAATGGTGATCGGCTATTAATAATATCAGCCGAAGTCCAATTTTATAATAAAAATATTTCGTGTAACACTAATTGATATCTAACAAAAAATGATCTATACCTATATTAATTAAGTTTCTTATTCGCTTTAAAAATAAGTTTTTAAAAAGTAATGATAAATATATAACAGAAATATATATATTTTTTATCAAAGAAAAGATTCTTTAAAACTATAAAGTTAATTTTTTAGATGGATTTTATTTAAAATAAAAAAAGTATTTTTATTTTATAAAAATTTTACAATAAAAAAGTTTTATAAATATTTAGTTTTTAAGTGCAACTTAGCAGAAATAAGGTAAGTAATATAGAATTTCCTTTAAATTATATTATTCTAGCTAATTTAAAAATATTAATAAAATAATTAAAAATAATGTAAAAGCTTAAGAAAAATTATGAAAATAATAATAAATATGAGATAAATACTACAAAAAGACCAAATTGGAAAAATTTTTTTTTAAAATAATTGAAATTTCAGATTAAATAATAAATATTACATCTAATTCAATTAGAAATAAATTTTTAAAAAAAAATTTAATTTATTCACTTTTTGTAATGTAGTATTTGGATTATAATCTAAGAAAATCAAGTTGAGAATTTTTTATTAAAATTGAAATTTTAATTGCATTTTAATTTTTATTATATTTAAATCAAAATGTAATAAGTTATTAATTTTAGTTAAAAATTTTTTAGAATCTGATTTTCTTAGATCAAAACCCATTTATTTTATATATGTTTATTAATTTAAAATTAATATATTATAAGAAAATTTCTTATTTACTTTGAATTATTAATTATAAAGAGGAAAAGATAATTATTTGAAAAAAATATTAGTATAGATAGTATATATAATGATAAAAGTTAAAGTATAATTTGTTTTTTTTTAATAAAATATTAAATTAATTTTTTATTTTATATTATTTATTTTATAACTAGAATGAAATACTTAAACTGTAGTAATTTTAAAAGCTCAACCCTATAAGAAATCGAAATAAGAAAATGATATGTTTTTATAAGGTTTGTATACGTAATTAATGATTCTATATCAAAATTCCGTATGTTTTATAATGATTTATTTTTTTA